GCTGATGGTGCCTGGCTATCAAAAGATATAGTGTCTGGGGTCTTAAAGGCTTGAACATAAACAAGCGGTCATCTAGCTCAGAAGCAGCAAAGCCCACATGGAAGAAGCACACCAGCTGTGTGACCATGAGCTGTCAAAGGGATCAGGTATCAAGCATCAAAGAACAAAAAATCATATCATTGTAAATGTGGGTGAGTGCTGAGTGGAGACTCAAAGTCCATCAGTAGGCAACTGGACACCCTCTTACTGAAGGGTTGTGGGGAGGATATGAGCCAGTCAGGGTGCAGTGTAGCAATGATGAAGCATATAACTCCCTCTATTTCTTAAATGCTTCCTCCCCCCCCACTATCATGATCCCAATTCCACCTTACAAATCTGGCTAGACCAGAGGATGTACAGATAGCAACTGGAAACACAGGGAATCCAGGACAGATGACTCCTTCAGGACCAGTGTGAGAGTGGCAATGCCTGGAGGGTGGAGGGAATGTGGGATAGAAAGGGGGAACCGACTACAAGAATCTACATATAGCCTCCTCCCTGGGGGATGGACAGCAGAGAAAGGGTGGGGGAGTCATCAGACAGTGTAACATATGGCAAAATAACAATAATTTGTGAATTATGAAGGGTTCATGAGGGAGGGGGGAATGGAGGGGGGGGGGAAAATGAGCAGCCGATATTAAGGGCTCAGGTGGAAGGCAAGTGTTTTGAGAATGATGATGGAAACAAATGTGCATATGTGCGTGACACCATGGATGGATGGATGGATTGTGATGGGAATTGTACGAGCCTCCAATAAAATTATTAAAAAAAAACAAAAACAAAAAAGACACACCTTACACTAACAAACTCAGCCCAAACTCACTGCCATCCAGTTGACGCCGACTCATCGTGAGTGACCCTGCCGGACAAGACGGAGCGGTCCCCGGGAGTTCCGAGACTGCAACTGTTTGTGGAGGTAGACAGCCCTGGTGCTGGCTGGTGGTTTCAAACTGCTGGCCTTGTGGATCGCAGCCAATTCATAATCATTATGCCACCAGGGCTCCCATAGAAACCCTATAGGACAAGGTAGAACTGCCCCGTTAAGCTTCCAAGACTGTAACTGTTTATGGGAGTAGAAACCCTGGTCTTTCTTCCGTGGAGCAATTGGTTTTGAACTTCTGACCATTAGGACACAGCCCAATGCATAATCACTACACCACTGGGGCTCCTCCTTATACTAATAGTTAACAGAGAAACTTAACAAAGTGCATTCTCAGATGGCCACAGCTATGAGTTAGCGTTTACATCTTGTACTCTGAGGGGACATGACTCCATCCATCAGCGAGTCCTGCAATCCCACCTCCCCTTCTCCACGGCCCACCCACTAGTCCAGGCTCCCATTAGCTCTGTCCTGAAATTCTCCCAGGCCCCCCCTCACTGGTTTTTCCCCACTTCCATTCTCTCTCCCAGTGCTTTCTCTGTGGAGCAGCCAGTGTGATCCCAGCCAGGGATCGGCTTTGCCAGTAACAGGAACGCACTCTGGTTGTCTCAGCTTCGTGCTATGAATATACAAAGAGATGTGTTGGAAAGGCACTGGGGTCTCTTCAGAAGCAAGAGCCACCGGACTCTGGGCCCTGTGACTGCTGTAGGAAATCACGATGGCGGGTCTCCACCATCCCTTCCAGGGGCGTGACCCCTGGGCTGTGGGTGGACTCAGTGTCTCCTGAGGCTCAAAGCAGCCCAGCCTCCACCACTGCCTGTTCCCTGACGCCTCGGGGCCCAGAGCAGGCTTTCCATCAACAGGACACCAGATGGGGAGCTCCAAGAAGGTAGGAGGTGAGGAGCGGAGCAGCTAGAATAGTAACAGACACCCACCTCTCTTCCTGTCCAGGTCCATGACTTCCGTGTGTCTGGAATAAAATCTAGGGTCTTCCCCAAGGCCTCCAGGAGCCGGCCTGCTCTGGCCAACAGCTGTTTCTCCAGCCATCTCGTGCATTGTCCCCTCTGCCTGCCTCTAGCCCAGGGCTTCTCAACCTTCCTAATGCTGCCACCCTTCAATACAGTTCCTTGTGTTGTGGTGACCCCCGAACCATTCAATTATTTTCATTGCTCCTTCGTGACTGTAATTTTGCTACTGTTAGGAATTGGGCGACCCCTGTGAAAGGGTTGTTCAACCCCCAAGGGGGTCGCGACCCATAGGTTGAGAATCGCTGCTCTAGCCGCAATGTCTTATGAGTCCTCGAACACACCAAGCTCCGTCCCTCCTCAGGGCTTTGCGTGTCTGGAACACCCTTCCCCTCCCTTGGCCCTGCCTTTTTCTCCCCTTTCCTTTCTCAGGTTAGATGGCACCTGCTCGGAGGCCTTCCCGGGTCAGTCGGTCAGTCTCTTTCATAACACTTCTCACAATTTGAAATTACTTCACGTACATGTTTGCTGCCCTCTCCCCCACGTCCCCCAGTCTCACCAAGCAGACGTTAAACTGCCAGCAGGCAGGGACCTGCTGAGTTGTTCTCTGCTGAATGCTGGGGTCTGGCAAGCAGCCTGGCACGTTATAAGGCTGCAGATGGAGAGAGTGTGCTCAGAGTCAGGGATTCGGGGATGAGCGAGAAAGGGCCCTTGTGTGTGTGTGTGTAGACATATACAGAGCACACTACTGGGACAGCTGTGTTCTACTGGATATACAATAAGGGCTCTGGCCATGAAGGACCACAAGATCCTAGGAGCACTCCAGAGGTGCCCCCCGACAAGGTAGGAGAGTCATAAAAGGCTCCCGGCCAGGGCCAGCTACATGAGCAGGGTAACAGCTTCCTGGGCACCTGCTAAAGGCCCCACACCATGTGAGTCCTGATCTACTTGCACTTATTGAGTCTTCAGAGCACTCTTAGGAGGTAAGCACTTCTATGCAGTCCACTAGCAGATGAGGAAATGGAATGAAGAACCGTGAACAGAGCATCCAGAAGCCAGCGTTCAGTCTAACTCTGTCACACCCGCAGCAAGTTGATCAGCCTCCGTTTCTCTACAAAGTGGGAAAGAGGCACGAGCACGTCAGCCTTGCAGTCTTACCGACCACCTCACCTGAGAGAACGGATGTGGGCCTGCCCAAGAACCTGCACGAAGTGGGCTCCACTCATGATTTAAGTGACCACACTGTGGCCACAGTCCGTCTGCTGAGACCACCTCCTAAGGCCCCCCCCCCATGTAGCGGGGCTAATTCCGCTGCACAGTCCACTCCCCAGTGTTGACGAGCAAATGCGTTACTTTGAGGCTCAGGTGCAGCAAGCCCTGGTTTTTTCAATGGCTTCATGTGCATAGGAGAGCTGGACATTGGAGAAGAATTCATCCATTTGCATCCCGGTGCTGGGGAAGAATAGTGAAAGTACCATTGACTGCCAAAAGAACCAACAATTCTGTCTTGGAAGAATTACAGTGTGGTAGTTACATAATTTCATGTCAACTTGATAAATAGAATGTAGGGGTGGAGTCTAACCTATCAATCAGGTCACCAGGTAACACCCACCAGGGGGATTCTGGGAACTTCCTCCCCTGCTCCCCCCAGAGGAAGAAGACACGCTGGGTCTCTCTGCTTCACATTCCTGTTCACAAGCCACATGGAGCTATGGCAGCCAGAGCCCTGGAGCTGGAGGAGCCACATGCCAGTGCTGAGATGCTTCCACAGCCACTGGATCCACAAGACTTTCCACCCACTGGCCTGTGATCGTCCTGCATTTGGCATCATGGCATGTGTTGTGTGAGTCTAAAGAGGAATTTGTAGACTGGTATCGGACATACGGGCTAATATCAGACTTACAGACTTGATCTGGATTGGGATGAGATGTTTTCTTAATATATGATTACTCTTTGATATAAAGCTCTTTTTATACATAAGCATATGTATGTTTGTATAAGAACATATCATGTATGTTCTTATACAGTGGCTGCAACAATGGGCTCACACCTGAGAATGACTGTGAGGCTGGCGCAGGACCGGCCAGTATTTCCTTCTGTTGTGCAGAGAGGGCTGCTGTGAGTCCACACGGACTGCATGGCACCTAACAACAACAACAACAACAGCACAGCGAGAGGAGAGTCTCCTACCTCAGGCGCTCTAGACTCCAGCCCCAGCCCCTACTGCACCCTGGACCCCGGCTGGAGGGGAAGCCAAGGCAACGGACCCGACGTAGGAGTGAAGAGCATGCTTGCAAAGGCAATGCTCCGATCCGGCCTCTTGTGGTGATGGTGTTGTGGTTTACACAGCAGGTTAGGCTTCTGATGGACAATGTTCTCACCATTGCCCAGGGACCTTAGTCCTTTTATCCCAGGCTGTCAACATCCTCTTTCTCCAGGCTCTGCTTTTCCCCCTGCCAACGCTCTAGCTTCCCTGTCCCCTCATCCTCCCTTCTTGGCTCCTGAGACACCACTCATCTGTCGGTCTCATCCACAGGGTCTGTAAGCTGGGTGCCTGTATGAGAGGAGGGCTCATATCCTTTGTAGCCACTCTGCCATTTCACTAAGAGGTGGTCTCAGGGGACAGGCTGGGGCCAGGTTTAAAGAGGGCCTCAGGGGAATAGTCAGGGAGGCCCCCTGCCACCTCCCATTCTCTACTGTTCAAGTCTGTCTGGCTTTAAAAAAATAATAGAGAAAAACATGAGAAGAAGAACGAGTTCTGCTCCATATTTTCCTCCCATGTTAACAGACCAGCTCATGTGGCCCTGGGAGAACAGTCTGGGGTGGCAGCCAGGCACCACCCGGTGTCAGGGTGATGTGGCTCTGGAGGGCTTGTTGTGTCTCTGTGCCTTTGGTTATTGTTTTGCCCATGATAAGTGGCGAGCGGGAGTTGGGTCCTAGATGGTTGCCCCACAGGCTTTAAGACCTTAGAAGCTACTCACTTGACGAGGAGGTAGCCCTGATTTTTTTATGAACTAGGCTTGGCCAATTGACTGGGTTGTCCCATGAGACCATGGTCCTCAGCCTCCAACTGTGTGTGGATTGTTGGTCTAAGATGATTTCATTCTGTGTTTTAGGCACCAGGCCACTCGTGCTCAATTTTGGAAGCTGCACCTGACCTTCGTTTCTTCTCAAATTTGACCAATTCAAGCGCCTGATGGATGACTTTCATGCCACAGCCGATTTCCTCATCATTTACATCGAAGAAGCGCACGCATCAGGTACAGCCAGACCTTGGCCTCTGCCCTCCCTCCTTTTCCTCTCTCCTTCCCCCGAGCCCCACCCTAAGGCTGGGAGTGAAGGGAGGAAGAAGGGAGAGGTATTCATGGAGCACCCACTAGATCCCAGCCCCTGAATTAGACTTCCATCATTTACCTGAACGAGGTTTACCCAACTTCCCAGCGGAAAACCAAGAGCGACAGGATCTAGCTGAGAGGACAGAGATGCTACAGCTACCAAGAACTTAGAGCGGACCCGGCACCGACGAAGTTTCCCTAAGGAGAGCCGTTATTGGTGTTAGGTACTATGGAGTGAGTCAGTGCCCACCCAGAGCGACCCTGTGCACCACACATGACACACTGCCCGGTCCTGCGCCGTCCTCACAGCTGTTCCCCTGCCCGAGCGCCTTGTTGCAGCCACTGTGTCCATCCATCTCGCCGAGGGCCTTCATCTTTGTTGCTGCCCCTCCACTTTACCAAGCATGATGGCCTTCTCCAGGGACCGGTCTCTCCTGACAACGTGTCCAAAGTATGTGAGACAACGTCTCACTACCGTTGCCTCTAAGGAGCAGTCTGGCCGTACTTCTTCCCAGGCAGATTTGTTTGTCCGTGTGTGTGAACTGAAAATACAGGGAATCCAGGACGGATGAGCCCTATAGGACCAGTGGTGTGAGTGGCAAAACAGGGAGGGTAAAGGGAGAATGGGTGGGAAAGAGGGAACCAATTACATGGAACTGTGTGTGACCTCCTCCCTGGGGGACAGACAACCAAAAAGTGGATGAAGGGAGACGTCGGACAGGGCAAGATATGACAAAATACCCATTTATAAACTATCAAGGGCTCATGCGGGAGGGGGGAGCGGGGAGGGAGGGGAAAAGTGAGGACCTAATGTCGGGGGTTTCAATGGAGAGAAAATGTTTTGAGAAACGATGTACAAATGCGCTTTACACAATTGATGTGTGTATGGATTGGGATAACAGTTGTATGAGCCCCTAATAAAATGTTAAAAAAGAAAAGAAAAAAAAAGTTAAACAAATACATAAAAACCGCCTGGGGAACAGGAGAGCACACAGAAGCACAGTGCATCTTTTTGTCCAACGTCCCTCTCTGAGGGCAGTCACTCACTCTGCGACCCTGTACAGTCCTCAGTCAGAGAAAGGGAACCTTGGCGCCGTGGCTGAGGAGAGGAAATGTCTAGCTGTCAAGCTGGCTGGCAGCTGCAGTCCAGGCAAAGCTGGTATGGGTGCCCCCGGGCAGCCCTTCTCACTGGACCCGGGGATCTGGTTACAATGCAGGTGCTGGTGGGTGTGGGCAGAGTCAAGAAGGCCCAAGGCTTTCACCTGGCTGGAGCCAAGAGCTGGGAGACAGGGGTGACTGGGCGTGAGGCTGGCGAGATGGGTAGAGGCCAGGTCACTGAGGACTTCTGGGCACATGGAGGAGTTTGGGAATTACCCTAAGGGTGACAGACAGAGGAAGCTGTCACCGGGACAGTTATGTCCGGTTTGCAATTTGGAAAGTCGCTGTGGTGAAGGGTAATTAGGAGAGGGAATTGTCTAGTCTCTAGAGTAGTTCTGGGCAGAAAGATGCGGCTGTCTGCACCTATAAAGAGCTACAGTTCCAGAGACCCTAGGGAGCAGTTCTCCTCTGTCCCATGGGGCGCTGTGAGTCGGAATTGGCTGGATGGCAGTGGGTTTTTCATGAGCATCAGGATCATCAGAAGCGCTAGGGGGGTTGGGAAAACAGATGGCGGGGTCCTCTCTCCAGTAGGCCGAGGGTGAGGGCTTTGAGAATTTGCTAACTCCATGATGCTGATGCTGCTGGCCTACAAGCTTTGAGAGCCGTTGCTCTAGGCCCCTGCCTTTCAGAAGTGTCCTCCAGGCGCCTGCAGCCCTGGAGTTCCAGGAGCTGACGATTCTTTCAGTGTCCTCCCAGACACCGAATCAACATCTTCATTTAGCAAGGTCCCTGAGTCATTCACATGCACAAAAACTGAGAACAAATGGTCCAGTGTTCCAGGTGCCCTGGGAGGGTAGCAGGGACATGTTGGCCTGTGCCGTAGCCCACCGGCAGAGCAATGGGGACTCGATTGAGGGGGTGAGGACTGAGAAAAGACAGACACAAAAAAGCTGGGGACAGGAGGACTGCAATTCAAGACTGCAGCCCCGAGGTTATTTTCCAGCAAGCCTTTATACACGGTTAAGCGGGAATGTGCTATTGCTCAAAATAGCGCCCCCATCCTTGTTCTTGTTTGTCTGGCAAATATTTTTCCCAAGGCTAAGCACCTGATGTTTTCAATAACATTAAAGCACAAAAGTCAATCTGACCGTGAGAGAGCTGTGTCTGCACGTCCACATTTGAACGAACAAACCTCTGCTTTCAGAGCAGCTCCCAACATCTCCCCCTTTTTTTATTTACTGAAGACGGTTTTTACTCAAAACGTCGGCAAATGACTGTGCCTGTCTTAGGTTGTCAAGCACCCAAATCACTCTTACCCGTCATCAGCCACAGTCCTCCCGGCGACTATGACCTGTCTCAGGTTGAGAGACTCGGACTCCATCTTACCCGTCTCTGACTAACCAGCCTCTGCCTTATACCCCTGTTTGGGGAGGGGGCGAAATACGCAGGTGTACTTCATGTAACTTTGTACTTAAAGCCAATAAATCAACCATAACCTTAATGATTAATAGAATAACACTACCAATGGTTAAAGATAATAAAGCTTTTGCTTATTCCAAAGGGTTAATAGAAGACATTCTCTTAGCAATTCCCTGAAACATTTCATTACCAGTAAGTTTGGGTAATTGTCTACTAAAAGGTTCACCAATTTGATATTCCAATCACTGTGGCTATTATCAGTCCAGTCATTCTCTTCGTTCGATGGGTCAATTCAGTCAAGGCATTGTAGATCTGCATTACTCCCACAAATTCACTCCAGGGTTGAGTTAAATTGACAGGTCACCAAATCTCAGGACGTGCTTTAACAAGATACAAACTGCCTTGGGCTTGGTTAAAAGTTTTCCACCAGGTAAAATTTACACAATATTGCAAAGTACAATTTAAAGAACAAGTCAAAACCTCTATACTAGAATTCCAAGTAATATCTCCTGATAAAATAACATAAGGAATTTTCACACAAGCTTGAATATACCGAGTAGCATTAATAAGAAGATTTACACTATAGGTGCAACAGTATTAGAAATATTGATAGACATATTGCCAATCCAGGTTTTAATTGGCTCCCCAGATGCTAATAATTTCCATAAATCACCTTGAGAGTTGTATCTCCCAACAAATGCGGCATAGGAGGGGCTAATCCTCCGTCATGCCAAATAACAGTTTCATTGCCAGATCCTTTCAAAGAACCATTATGTATGTGCCATATTAATTTTAGAAAATTTATTAATAAAGTCTCCATGAGGGCTCCAATCCACTATCTTAAAGTCTGTATGATTTAACAACATCTTCGGCTGTTCTCCTTGACAATGAGTCCATACCAATTATTGCATTCCAGGATCTACATTAGGGAGTGGGCAAATAGATGACAGGGTAGAAGTGGTCTCAGAGATATTACCGACCTTCCCCCTAAAGCCTCTTACAGAAATAAGAACCATAGTTGCTGCAAAAGAAGAATGATTACACCTCGCTCCCCAAACCTCATGTGAATAAGATAAACAATGAGAACCATATCTTGGGGAAATAGAGAACCCCTCATCCCCAAGCTATAATTATTAATATGCTTGTCTTCTTCTTCGCAAAAGGAAAAGGGAACATTTTAAAACTCTTGCAGAAACTTCTGAGTGCGGGACTTCTTAGCCATCTCTCCGTTTCAGAAGTCGGGTTGGCAACCACTCAGCTCCAGAATCTGTGGAGATAAGAGCAAACCCTCGACACCATTGTAAAATCTCTCCTTCTATGGTTCTATAAAATATTGGTTCTGGAGGGGAACACTTTCTTTTAGGCTTAGGAAAATTAGATAGGGTTGCAGAGTCTTCCAACGCCTGTCACTGATTTTAGCAGACAGAGTGCTTTCCACCAACCACAGCACCAGCTACAGCCCCTGCAAACAACTCAGCTTGTTATGCAGTTTCACCGATCCCTGCACAAGCTCTGATATGGGAAAAGCTATTATTCCTGGATCGGGAGGCAGCTCCTCCCCATGTTTTGGCCTTGAGAAAGTGAAAGTCGCTCTGGACAATGAAGCAGCTAAAGGGCTGTTAGCAGAATGACATTTAAGCATTTGTTTTAGCTATTTTATAATCTCTTGAACATCATTTCCTTCTCCCACATCATCTGATTCTTTCTTTGCTAATTCTGGGCCTAATTCCTCCTCAGCTACTTCTGCATACTCCTCTTCCTCCCTTTGGATTCCATTCTCCCTCTTGTCTTTATCACTTTCTTCACCTTTCTCCGAGTCTGTCTCTAATAACTGTAAAGTTTGAGTAATAGCACTACACAAAGACCATAGCTTTAAATTCATAGTCTGTCCCTGTTGATGAGCAGTGTGTAATGTTTTTACTACTTGTTGCCATGCTCGCGAATTCAATTTAACCTCTTCTTCACTGTAAAACCAATAACAATGTTGTTGTACATGCATAAATAATTCTCCCAATAATTTATCTTTAACCTCCACCCCTGTAGAATGCAGAAGTCCTTTTATCAACTTTTGGTATTCACGTTCCCTGGACCGGGAATTTCCCTTTTTCCTTTTTTTTTCTTCTTTTTATTCTTCCCCCTCCCCACCGAAAGTCTCTCTAGCAATTACAGAGGCGTTCCTTCCGGTTTTCCCTGCTTCACACAGGTTAAGTTATTAACTCCAAAAGTCCCTCTCGCCTAGGATCCAAGCTATCCCTAATTAAATTCCATAGGCAAAACATATCTATGGGGACCTTGCTAGGTCCATTACCTGCATCTTTTAGTCGTTCCCTACTTTCAGCCAAGTTTCAATATTTGCAGTCCCATCCTCAGGGAACCAAGGACATACTTTAACTACATACTACATACTTTAACATACTTTAACTACAAAAGAGAGAAAATTTTCTAATTGTCCATTACTAACCTTAATGCCTCTAGAATGAAGCATACTTTTTATCACTTGTATAAACAGCTCTTTGCTGTTTCCATGTCCCATGTTTTACTCCCTACGATACCTCCCTGCCCGAACTTCTTTACCTTTTTATTCGACGCATCTTTGTTAACCGGGCAGTCTTCCTCTACCTGCTTCCCGTGTTCTCGAGCCTCCACGTTGGGCGCCACCTGCCAGGCCCACCGGCAAAGCAACGGGGACTCGATTGAGGGGGTGAGGACTGAGAAATGACAGACACAAAAAAGCTGGGGTCAGGAGGAGTGCAGTTCAAGACTGCAGCCCCGAGTTTATTTTCCAGCAAGCTTTTATGCACTGTTAAGTGGGAATGTGCTATTGATCAAAATAGTGCCCCCATCCTTGTTCTTGTTTGTCTGGCAAATATTTTTCCCAAGGCTAAGCACCTGATGTTTTCAATAACATTAAAGCACAGAAGTCAACCTGACCGTGAGAGAGACAATCTGACCGTGAGAGAGACAATCTGACCGTGAGAGAGCTGTGTCTGCACGTCCACATTTGAACGAACAGACCTCTGCTTTCAGAGCAGCTCCCAACAGGCCTGTGACCTGCAAGGCCGGAAGTTCAAAGGGAGAAAGACAGGGTTACAGAAAGAAAGAGTTACAGCTTCGGAGACACAAGGCCCGTTCTGCGCCGCCCTATAAGGTCGCAAAGAGTCAGCATTGACTCCATGGCAGTGAGTTTTGGGTTTGGGTCTATAGTGCCATCTCACAGTACACAGTCAAGGGTTGGGCTTCGGTTCTGGACCAATTATCAAGGGACTCCTGTCCTTCGCCCATAATGGGAAGCTGGGCCAATCATGGCCAAGGCCTCCTCTAGCTAGACTCCTCCATTGAGAGTGAGGGTATTTACTTGATCTCATTTGACCCATTTTAAAGTTGTTTCCATTTTTAATATTTCCTGCTTCCTTTCGGACGGAGGTTTTTCTGTGTTCTGTTTCGTCGTGGTTGGTTTTTGTTTGCTAGTTTGCTTCCTGCTCGTGTTTTGCATGATCTCTGTGTATCACATCGGGATAGGTAGCTCTAGCAAGACGGTAGCAGGAGGGATCATGGCCTAGGGGCCCGGCAGGGGAGGATGGCGGCGATGGGGAGCTAACAGTGAGCAGGAGAAGAAAATGTTCTGAAATTGATTGTGGTGATGATAGCTCAACTCTTCTTAATATGCCTGCACATTTCAACTGTATCATGTGTGAGGTACAGGCCAATGACACTGGTTTTTTTCAAGTGGAGGGATTTGGTCCACAGGCAGTGGATGCCACCCTGGCCGCCTGCTGCCCCTCCTTTCTCTTGCAGATGGTTGGGCTTTTAAGAACAACGTGACCATCCGGACTCATCAGAACCTCGAAGACCGCCTGCGGGCGGCCCGCCTGCTTCTGGACAGAGGCCCCCAGTGCCCCGTGGTGGTGGACACGATGGAGAACGAGAGCGGCCGGCTCTACGCGGCACTGCCGGAGCGCCTCTACGTGCTCCAGGAGGGCAGGATCCTTTACAAGGTGGTGACCGACCGGAAGGGGCAGGTTCAGGGAGGGCAATGGGGGCCCAGCGAAGGCAAGGGCAAAGGGAGAACTTTGCGGCAGGCCCTCCCTGGATTCAAACCCGCACCGTCAGTTAGCACACACGTGACCACGGGGCAAGCCCCTTTCCCCCTTGGAGGTTCCGTTTTCTCATCCGGAAAATGGGGGTGTCAATGCCTCCCCCAAAAGGGATGAAACAGTGCGGGGAAAGCCCCTCGCATTCAGACTGGCGCTGCAGAAGTCTCCTGGCTGCCTTAGAACCCAGAGGACTGGCTCAGCCCTGGTTTGGGTTTAAGCTGAGAGGTAGACCAAGGTTGTTTCCGTTCTGTCAGCGGGCAAGGCTCTGATTTCAGGTCCAATTCCCCTGGATGAGATGGGCTATTCTCGGGGCAGGAAACCTGGCGGCACAGTGGCCAAGCCTTTGGCTGTGATGGCCCAGAGCCGCAGGAGAAGGGTGCGACTGGTGGTTTGCTTCTGTTGCTCTGTTCGTGGGGACTATTTGAGTATTCCTTCTCTGACAGGCTTCTGCCTTATGCCATTTCTGGCTTTTGCAGGTTTTGCTGTATTTCCCACTGAGATGAGTGAGAGAAAAGTGGTAAGACTGCCCCCTGTCAAAGGCAGAAAACCCTTGAGACCCGGAAAAACCAGGCCGCCCTGTCAAGTTCTGGGTCTCATGAGGTTCACTGGTATTCATACATGACCAAAAAAATGCTCTGTCCTAGAACTTCTTCCGTCCAAAAAATGCAAACCCTGAACTCGCTGCCATTGAGTCCATGCTGACTTGCAGCGGCCCTTTATCTGTAGGACAGGGTAGAACTGCCCCTGGGGGTTTCTGAGATTATAATTCTTTACGGGAGTAGAAAGCTTCGTCTTTCTCTGGTAACTGTGTAAGTAGAGGCTTTTAAAACTCAAAGGAAAGATCGCTCCATGGGCCACATAACCACAGAGCATCAGGGTGAAAACTCACTGCGGGTAGCAGCTGCAGGTGTTCCCCAGGTTGGGGGAGGGGGGCACCTTGCAGGCCTGCAGTTCCTGCGTGAGGCTTGATCCCTAGCAAATGTTTTCACGTCTCGCCCGCTTCTTACCTTCATAACTTTACAGCCCCTGCTCTAACTTGTGCTTGCATTTCCCTTTGTTCATACTCTCCGGGGATTCCCAGGGGATGCTGCAGGACGAGGAGGCAGTCTGTTTCTGCTGAAGATGGACCAGGTTGGAGACCCTGGGGAGAGGTTCAACTCTGTCTCATAGTTGCTATGAGGCCGGCCTGCACCTCATGGGGTGGTGTCGCTGTGTGCAGCTGTCATCCCACCCCACGGGACCCTATAGCACTGGGTAGTGCTGTGTTATATGACTTTGCGGGTCTCTAGGTCTTTCTCCCACAGAGCCACTGGTGGGTTGGAATCCCCAACCTTTCGGTTGGCAGTGGGAAGGAGGCTGGAAGAGAGGGGACTCTAGTTAGGAGCTAGGAATGCTGGAGCAGGGGGCAGAGGCAGGAAGTGACCCAGGATTTCCTTTCTGGTGATTGTCTCCTTGTCTAGTCTGGGCCTGTGCATGAGGCAAACACGCCCTCTGAGCCGGGGTACTGCTGCCCCCCTGGGAGAGGACAGGACCAGCTTCCATAGTTGCTGCAGGGATTTCAGGGCTCAGAGAGCAGATGAGAAAGACCCTGTGAGAGGCCCCCAGGTCCTCTGCCCCCGAGGCAAGCCAGCTCTACTGTTGCAGGTGAAGTGAGCAACAAGTGTCAGATAAGCCCTGGCGTGCCTCAGTGACGCCATCTTGAGGCTCTACTCTGGGCTGGGCCATGACCTCGGCCTACCTTCTGGAGCCCTGGTGCTACAGTGGATTACAAATTGGCTGCTACCAGAAGGTTAGCAGTTTGAACACATCAGCCTCTCATTGGGAGAAAGGGGAGGCTAACTGGCCACATAAAGATTAAGAGCCTTACAAAAAGAAGGAAAAAAAGATTAAGAGCCTCGGAAACCCTTGCCATGAGTTGGACTTGACCCCGTGGGTGGTGAGTTTGTGGCTGTTTCCTGCCGGACTTCAGAGCACTCGGATCTCTGGGAGAAGGGAGGCGCAGGTGCAGAGTTCCGATGTCCCACTGCCGTGAGACCAGGTTGGCAGTAAAGACCCAAGAGCCAGATGGTAAAGAGTTGGGGCTTTTTAAAAAATCATTTTATTGGCACTTCATGCACAAATCATACAATTCAATAGTATAATCATATCAAGGAGAGTTGTACAATGATTATCACAATCAATTTCAGAAATTGTTCCTTTTCCTTATACTCATCATTATTAGTGTAAATTTTATTTTTAATTGTGGCCAAAAAACACACACAAAACATTCTCCTGTTCAACAACTTCTACATGTATAATTCAGAGCCATTGATTATACTCTTCATATTTTGCAACCATTATGATAGTCTTTTTCAAATTATTCTACCACCATTAACATAAACTCGATTCTCTCTAGCAAAAACTCTTCCTCCTTCTCCCATGTTAACCATTGGCCAACTTTAGTTTATTTTCATTTATTTATTTTTTAGTAGTTTTCTTGATGTAAAATTCAAATAAGCACTTCCTTAGTTACATCACTTTTATTTTTATTTTTTATTATTATTATTTTTAATCATTTTGTGGGCCCCACAGCCTGTCACAACTCCCTAATCTGCCAGGGAGCATGGAAGCTACATCGGTAACATGGACACAGACATTATGTAAACAAATGGCAAGAGGAAGTAGGTCAGCTTTGGCTTCCAGCTTGTAAATATGCTGCCATTTGGGAAAAGGTCAGTGTCCTAGATGAGGTGACAATAGCTTGGACCTGAAAGGACGGTGAAGATTTGAACACATAGCACAGTGAATGAGTTCCTGCAAATGTAAGCAGTGGGCAGAAGGAGGGCGCTGAGGCAGGGGATGGATGGAGATTGAGGGGTATTTGGATCCCAGGGGCCTCATTCGGCACCATGGATTATGACCTTCATCTGAGGGGAAAGGAGAGCGATTGAGCAGAGTCGAGATGTGATCAGATCTGTAGCTTAGAAAGGTCACTGGCTATGGGGTGAAGGAGGTGAAGAATAGACTGGGGGAGCAGGGCTGAGGACTGGGGCTGGTAAGGAGGCGCAGCCACTGTCCAGACGAGGCTGAACCAGGGCAGTGGGCCCGGAGGCACAGGTGGTTCTGATGCCGAGTGGGCAGAATATGAGGTGCCCGAGGGATGCCGAGGGAGAGTCACACCAGCCTGACACTCCAATGACAGAAGGAGAGCTTCTTTGTCTAAATCTGATGTCCTTCTCCGACTGTCACTCTCTCTGGGGCTCCTCCAACGTCTCTGTCCACTCTTCTGATTCGACACTGGTGCTGCCACACACACTCCATCTGGGGGACCTCATGTCCTTCACCGCTGCATCTGCCATGGCCGGTGCATACCGACTGCCTGGAGGTCACTTAAAGACAGCTTTCAACTACGTCCTAGATCCACAAGTTGGGAATCTAGGAACACCCAATTCCTTTCTCTTGCAGGGGAAACCTGGCCCTTGGAACTACCGCCCAGAGGAAGTCCGCGCTGTTCTGGAAAAGCTTGACAGTTAGTCTGGACCGTCCAGAGTTCTACGTGGCCAATAGGAGCGCTGCTCAAGCCTGGGCGCTCCCCAGCCCAGCTGACTGGCACCTCTTGATCTGTGTTCCCAGCTGACTTGCTAGCTCAGATGATTCCAATCTAAGCAAACGACTGTCAGAGGGGAGCGTGTGTGCGCGCGCGCGTGCGCAGGTCACAGTATTCAATCAGAACTGACTGTGAGAACCAGAAAATGACTTGGCCCTTCATGTACAAATGCACACGACTCCCACCAACCACGGAGCTCACACCCTTTGCACGATGTCTTAGGAGTGAGTGCACGCAGTCGCTGGCCTGATGTACTTCTGAGGGCGTTCTCTCTCTCCAGCCTCTCTGGTACCAGTGGGCACATACACCAACCTCTCCGTTAGGTTAAGGCACATTGCCACATGTGGCACTTACACAATTGATCACTTAAGACACCAAATTGGATTTTAGAAGTAAGCATGGGCCGAGTCCAGTTGTTAAAAGAGCGAGGAGGCGCTGGAAAAGGAGGAAGCAGGAATGGTTGGAGACTGGAAGATAGTGATCCTTTCGTTGCTCAAAGATTTAAACCTGTCAATGGTGGGGGTGGGGGTGAGTTTCCATGGCAACACATTTCCAATTCTATCAAGAAGAAAGAAAGGATGCACACTTAACATGCTTGAAAATGCTCCCCAGAAAGCTGGCTCTCTGGACCCTAGATCCCTCCACTAGTCTCCCTCATGAGCAGATCCCCTTAGAGGGGACAGCTGATTTCCCCCAGCATCATAACCTTGACCAAACCAGACAAAAGCATGGCCCATCGCTCATATTTCGAATTCTCTTACTTCTTTGCATGTCTCCTAATGGTCACTTGTGTTCAATTCCATCCGACTGGTGGATTAACGCCGGCATTCATCTGCTTTAACTCTGCTTCTTTCCATATGTTTATGATGGCCACAGCTTAAAGTACACAACAGCTGTGACTTGAGCGAAAAATGTATTTTAAGATGCAGCAAGTTAATACAGAGTGATTAAAATACACTGGGCTACGTTGAAGGACGTCAGTGTGATCTTTACATCTCCTTTTTCAATTTGTCAGTCTGTTCTGTCTTTTATTACTACCTCTTGCCATCTGACCAGCAAAAATACCATATGCTGAAGGGCCTCACTTGTCTCCATGTGTTATAAGTCAAATATGGTTGGTCCGTGAACTCCTGCTGGGAAGGAAATAATTTTCCCCAATGAGATAAAACTGTCATTGAAACATCTTACATAGAATGGACTTGAGAGACATTTTTTTTCAACATATAAAATACTGGGTCCTGGATGCTGCCTAAGTTTCTGCAATGTTAATAGTATTTACTCTTTAAAAAATAGATATTAACTGTACAAGTGATTTCAGGCATGCTATCTCATTTCATTTATCTTCCAAAGAGAAGATTATTATTCCCATTTTATAGATTATGACAATAGGTTTAAAGAGGTTAAGTAATACACAGTAGTTGAGATTCCAGCCCATCTCTGACTCTAAGCCCGGAATGCTGCCTCTGCTCCGTACTCTAGCTGTGTGACTGTGCAGAAGTTGCCTTGGTGTCCGGATCTTTTAAACACATCACGAGTGCCGAGCTTACAGAAGATTTAATGAGAAAACATAGAACTGTGCCTGGCTCGTGGAAAATGCCATGGAAGGGTTGGCTATGATTAGTAACAGTTTTACTCCACAGCTGCCTTCTTGGGCCCCCTCCTTGGGGGTTGGGGCAGAGGAGGGAAGGCCGACAGGACAGAGGAAGGACTGAATAAAAAGTCATCAACTAGCCAAAGCAACTCACAGTACTGGCATGAGTTTGTGAGGTTACGCTGAGACAGAATAGCTGTGAGAATCTTAGAACTAAATAATGTACAGCTAAGCAAGCACTACCTAAGTGTTAAATCAGTGTTAGATGACCCAATAAGATCAACACAACTTACTTGTGCTTACTTAGCCACCTGTAGTGAACAATTTCACTTATTTGTCCCCACATCAAAGACTCTAGGCCTCTTCTAACCTGAGACCAGAAGAACTCGATGGTGCCCAGCTACCAGTACGACCCTTTGACCAAGGGTACAAAAGAAGGACCCTTGTTAGAATGGGAGACAACGTAGAACAATACTCAAATTCATTAAAGAAAAATAGACCAGGCTTACCAGATTGGCAGACTAAAGGAACCTGTGAGACTATCTCCCTAAGCTACCTGGAATCGAAATCACATCCAAGGTCAACTTTCAGGCAAACAATAGATAGGGTTATAAAATAGACGACATCATCCTGAGTGATGTCCTTGAATCAACTACGGGAGACCAAACACTCCACATTGACCCAGAGCCACGCAGAGGAGGCCAGCCGGGAGAAGGCAAGCGCGATCAGTGGAGAGGGGCAAACGAAAAGGCAGTCATGAGGCCGGGGCACCATGTGGGAACTGGCCCCAGTGTCTTGGAACAATTTAGATAAACATGACTAAAGGGGAAACTAACTTCCACCCCTCCCCCACCAAAAAAATCTGCTTTTAGGTAAGCCGACGTCTGTTTCTCTCCAAACTCCACAGCACCTTCCTGCGTCATCAAAGCTTCTTTTCAGATTTGCAAACCCTGACGGGGACGGAGCACCCAATACGCAAGGAAAGCACAGGCTTGCTTGTTCTTAACCATCTCTGTCCTGTGCTTACCTTACTTACTGGGCACTCCACCCCAGAAACTTACGTTTCACCAAAGGATATAACATAAAAGGCAATGTTCTCCTGCACCACGTCTCAGAGGGTCCTCCAGATAGGTAATGGTCACTGAGCTTTCAGAATGATGGGACAGGCCTCGTGCTTCCTCATTCTAGTCTCTTCAAGTGTGTGCCTCCCATCTGAGCCCAGCAATGCCGCTCTTCTGGGTGCTGAGTGACGCCAGACAGGCAAGGGCAACTGTGGCCCTCCAGCAGTTTCCTCCGGGGCATCAGCTGGGCCGAGTGATGGCCATAAATCCACGTGGAACCGTGAGGTCAAGATTGACCACTCAAGAGTGTGCCGAGGACAGAGTCACTCCTCTGAGTTAGGGAAGCTGGCAAGGCTATATAGGAAGGGGGTGGCATGGGGGCCTGGACTTCCAGGATGTCCAGGGATTCCACGTTTAGGGGTGGGAGCTTGGAGCAGATGAGAAGGAAGAAGGGCATTTCAAGTGGAGGAAAGGACCTGGGCACAGGTGAAGGAAAGAGTGCGGGCAGGGGGTTGCAGGAGATGTGGGCTCAGTTGTCACTGGGAATAGAGAAGAGGCTCTTCTCTTTGATGACGGCTTCTCTGGGTCTGGCAACCAAGAACGAATCCATTTTGCTTGCCAAACATTGCGAAGTCCTGGTAAGTGATAGCACTTTGATAAACAATGCCCTGCCCCTATCATCTGCATTCGGAACATCTAGGGATTTGAAGGAAACCAGCCACCACAGTGGCGTCTTTCTGCCTGGGAGGGCAGGTGGGTCCTCTAGTTCCCCGGTTCCCTGAGGGCGCTGCCCTCTGTGGTACCTGACTATGCAGAGGCCCTATGTCTATCCTCCGTTCTGGCAGACCCCGGACAATTTTACATAAAAATCACTGGAGACTCTCGAAGTCCTCTGAAGTTTTGAGTTCTTGAGACTGTCGGATTTATTGTTTTTTTCTACTTGAAGGGCACTTGGCTAAAGTTCGGGTTCTCCTGTCTCGGAGCTCGGAGGACATTGTTCCATTGTCCTGGCCTGGAAGAGAGGAGAAGCCGAGCCAGTCCCAATGAGTCCACCAGGCAACTGAACGGCTGTTATTTTGCCCCGAGACCTGTTGCATGCTTTTAATTCAGTGCCTTCGCAAAGACGTATTCCAGTGCTGATGGCTGGATAGTATGTTTTCCTGGGATCTAATCTCCCTCTTCAGTGCTATGATTTCATTATTTTTCAGGAACATTTTCTTCTGGCAGCTTTTCTAGACCATGTGTTCTATTCTTTTACACAGGAACTCCCATTATGGGTATCTTGTATCTCTTTTCTTGTAAAACCAACTTCTAAATCTCTGTTCTTTTTTATTTTGTTTTGTTTGTGGTCTTTCTCAAGTCCCCCCCTCTGATCCTGACCTTTCTTGAATTTTCTTCTTTTTAAATCGTTTTATTACAACTCATACAACTCTTATCACAATCCATACACACATCAATTGTGTAAAGCACATTTGTGCATTCATGGCCCTCATCATTCTGTGTTTTTAATCTTTCTTGAATTTTCTGCAACAGATCATATCATGCATTCAATCGGACCTGCTCCCATTTTCTCAAATTCACCTCTGTAGTCCAGGTCTGGACGCTTGAGAAGTTCATTTCCCAGGCTCCCCTGGTGAGTTGCTTTCTGCAAAGCGCCAGCAGAAGATGAGAGAGTGGTGAGAGGAGAGAAACCATCTTTCCCACTTACGACTGGTGATTACGGGTGACTGTGCCCTGTAGGGACTTCAGTGTCTACTCCAGTGTGACGGCTGGGCAGCTTCTGCTCAGATGCAGTGACAGTGCCTCCGCTGGCCAACGCAGGACGTGCGTGGCTCCTGGGCTCCCAGGACAGGCTGCAACCCCATCTGCCCTTTGCTTTTGGAGCCCTCGACACTTTGGAACCAATCCCCTGAGGAGTTCCCTCTTGGCTGTTCACGTCTGTGCGGTTTCAGTTTTCCCAATTCAATGCTGACTGCTACAATTAAACAATCATCAACACTATTTTTCTCTTAAAGCATTTTATTGGGGGCTCATAAACTCTTACCACAATCCATCCATCCATCCATGGTGTCAAGCACATTTGTACATTTGTTGCCATCATCATTCTCAAAACATTTGCTTTCCACTTGAGCCCTTGGTATCAGATCCTCATTTTCCCCTCCCTCCCTGACCCTCCTTCCCTCGTGAACCCTTGATCATTTGTAAATTATTATTATTTTGTCATATCTTACACTCCCTTTACCCACTTTTCTATCAACACTATTTTTATCCTCATTCTTTTGTTTCTAATTGCTCTTCCATTTCTTCTATCTATCTATCTATCTATCTATCTATCTATCTATCTATCTGTATACATACTCCTTGTACTCTCTCCCCTTTGATCTCTTTTTGAGAGATAACTTCGGCTCTCTGCTCTTGATATGATTTTTATGTCATTTATCTTGTAACAAATATGGAGTTGGCCTTATCTTCATTTCTTTCATTCTTTCATCTTACAGTGTTTCTAGTCATCTTGTTGTTGTTGTTGTTGAGTTGCTTCCAACTCATAGTGACCTTTTGCACAGCCGATTGAAACACAGCCCAGGCCTGCGCCATCCTCACAAGTGCTCCCAGGCTTGAGCCCACTGCTACAGCCATGGCGTCGCTCCATCACCTCGAGAGCCCTCCTCTCTGGCTCTGCCTCTCTACCAAACACGGCGTCTTTCTCTAGGGACTGGTCTCTCCGTACAACAACAAGGAAGTATGTCAGACGAGGTCTTACCACCCTTGCCTTTCAGGAACACTCCGGCCCTACTCCTTCCAAGACAGAGCGGCTTGTCCTTTGAACAGTTCGTGGTGCTTTCAGTACTTTTCTCCAGCACAATCATTCTTTGATCTTTTTTATTCGGTGTCCATTTTTCACGTGTAAATAAGGCCATTGAAAATACCCTGACTTGGGCCAGGCGCACCTCCGTCCTCAGTAACATCCTTGCTTTTTCAGTACTCTAAGGAAGTCTTGTGCAGCAGATTTACCTAATGCTATGTGTCATTTGATCTCTTGAGTGCTGCTTCCATGGGCACAGATTGTGCATCCAAGCAAGATGAAATCCTTGAAAGGTTCCATCCTTTTCTATTTATCATGATGGTAGCTATTGGTCCAATTGTAATGATTTTTGTCTTCTTCATATTGAGTTGTCATCTATACTGAAGACTGCAATCCTTGATTTTCAGCAGCAGGTGCTTCAAGTCCTCCTCATTGTCAGCAAGCAAGGTTGTGTCATCTGTATATCATAGGTTGTTAATAAGCCTTCCTCCACTCCTACGGTAGTTACATAATTTCA